AGAGAGAGAGAGGGATTTGAAGCATCGATGCGTTGGACGGAGAGAAGGCGGCGATGGGGATGATTGCGCTCGTTTTCTTTGCCTCCACTCTCGGCGTCGCGCTCCCGCGCCCCGCGCTGCCGCGGTCCCCCGAGCCGACCCGACCGGTGCTGCCCTCCCGCCGCGTCGCGCCGCCTCATCGGCATGATAATAAGAAAACGAACGCGCGTCTTAAAAATAGAGCTGGAGAGCAGCGAGTCGCGGAGGGGAGGAGGGAGGCAGGGAGGCGGCGCTGCGCCGTGCGTGCGGTATTGTAACGTCGCGGCGGCACCCTCCTCGGAGCGACACAGGAATACGGAAGCAGCGGAGGAATGAATCACGATCGCGTCCGTCACCGTCGCGCCGGGGTCGCTGCACATGCACAATAATGTGAATTTAAATCGGGGGAAATTTACAGTTGTTTTCTCGATTTATAGGAATAAAAATTGTTGATTTTCTTTTTGTTGTTGTTGTTGCGCGCGCTGCGCGTTCCCTCGCGACGCGTTGTCCATGCGCTCGCCCCGCCCCGCGGCACGGGCACAGCAAGTAGTCTGATTATCGCTCGCGCCACCGCCGCCACTGCTGCTCATGGCAGTTGTCGGCCGGCCCACCCGCCCCGTTACGTCAGCTGTTTGCGCTGGTGGGTACGTACTGCACTACTGCCCCCCCCCCCTTCTCCCCGGGTCTATGCAGTCACAGCACGGCCCAGTCACGCTCCCTGCACGCGAGCCACACGCTTGGCTCCCTGCTGGTATGGGCCCGGGGTCCGCCACGCCCCGCCACGCCCCGTAGCATGCACGGCCAAAGCAGGTGGCGACCCCTCCCTCCCCTTTGGCTCAGCAGCTCAGACCGTGGGAATGTTTCTACCGGGTCCTGGTCCTGGCGCGGCGGGCCCGGGCCGACCCCACCCCGCCGGGCCGGGGGAGGGGGAGCGAGGGGGTGCGGTGTGTGCTGCACTGTGCAGGCATGCGTGGCCATGCGGGAGGGGTGGTGGTGGTGCGGTGGAGGGGGTTGGGGGGACGGTGTCATCTTGCATGGAAGGGAGTGGCCCTGACGTGCCCGGTGGTTCTGATGACGTGATGTGACTACTGCTCGCCATAGCGATG